TAATATTATCTGAATTTTTATTAATATTTAGCTAATAAGATTATTACTATTTCTTTTATAAAACCTTATCCTTAATAAGAATATATCTTTAATTAATATAAGAATATTATTATAAAAATATTACTATATTAATATATTAAAAGGATTTTATAATAAAAATTAATTTTTTTATTTTATATATCAAAAAGATTTAATATAAAAAAAAAACTTCAAAGATAATATTATTTATATTACTATTACTTTATTTATTTTTATTTATTAAAGATATATTTATTTCATTTTTCTTTCTATTTTTCTTTTCTTTTATTTTTATAAGGATTTTATTAATTATTTAAATCTTTATTAATTAATTATTAAAACCTGTAAATATTTATAGAATCGAATACTTTTAGAAAAACTTATAAAAACATTAGATTCTTTAATATAAATAAAACAATTTATATAAGAAGCCTTAATCTTTAACAGAATATCAGGATTTCGATATCGAGAATTAAAAAGGGATTAGTAATAATTAATATTATTTTTTATTTTAAAACTATATAGAAAGCTTTATAAAAAAAAAGAATAATTTAGGTAATTTTAATTCTGATAGTAGATTGATAGGTGGAAGTTATTGAATTTCTGAAAGTATACTTTTTTATTTAAAAAATAATAATATTGATATTATTTTTAGAAATATAGGGAATATTAAAATATTAAGAAATATTAATAATTTGGTAAAAAAAAGAGTTATTTTTTTTGTTATTATTAAAATCAGAAAGGAATTTATTAAAATATTTAAAACAATTCTTTTTAAGTATAAAGAAATAAATATAGGAATAAAGATAAAATAACAATTAATTATTGGTATAAGGGGATTTGTAATTCTTCGAATCAATTAATATATTCATAGTATTCAGAGTCTTATCTCCTAAAGGAGCAGGGGGCGGAACAGAAATATTAATAGTATGAAAATAAATAATCGAAGTTATAAAATCGCCTTTATTATTTGAATCTATTATGACTATTAGTTTTATAACAAAGTTTAAAATAGTAGTATTCAATATAAATAAATTATTCTATAATTCAAGAAATTAATTAAATATTATTATAAAAAATAAAGAATAATCAATAATAGCTTAATAAAAATTTATAAAATACTTTATAAAATTATTTATTTGATTCAATTTCTTTATAATAAATAAAAATAATATTTCAAATAATTCTAACTTTTTAATATTATTTTATTTATTTTCTTTTTATAAAAAGGCCTTTATATTCTTAATATAATACTTATTTCGATATATTATTATAATCTCAATATTCTTTTTCTCTTAATTATTAATAAAAATAATCTATTAAAAGATTTGAATTTAATATAACAAATTAATATTAAAATATATCAAAAAAACACTAATTAGTAAATCTTTTTTTAAATATAATAATAATTATATTTAGTATAAAAATCTTTATTGTAATAATAGAAATCTTTAGGAATAAAGGATATAATATATTTGAAATAATAAAGATATATAAAGATAATCAATTCAATAAAATTCATTATAAATCGAATTACAATTGCCTAAAAACTAATAAGTTAAGGAATAATTATAATAAAACAAAAACAAGTAAAGGGATAATAAGAAATAATTTATTAAAAAGAAAAAAAAAGAAAAAAATTAAAAGAAATTTATAGAGTCTTTAATAATCTATTAATGAAAACAATAAATATATTAGAATATTGTTTATTGATTATTTATAGCTTTATAGTATTTTTATTTTCTTTTGATATATAATATAAACACAATTACTCGATATTTCATTTTTTTGTATTATATAAGCCAAATTTGGGAAATAAATATACACATCTCAGAACACGATACACAATATAAGGAGCTTTGTTACAATTAATCTGTATAAAGATTAACGAGGATATATGAATAGTTTCTATAGAACTACTTCGGGCTGATGCTAACCCGTGTATAATTATAAATTGTAGAATTTTCATAGTTTAGAAGAATTAATGAAAAGTCTTTGTATTACATTACATCTAGTTGATTCATTACTATTATCTACTCTAACACCCCCGATCTTCGCTACGCTTGAGTTTAAATTTAGATTTATTAGATTTATTAGATTTATTAGATTTATTAGATTTATTAGATTTATTAGATTTATTGGATTTATTAGATTTATTAGATTTATTAGATTTATTAGATTTATTAGATTTATTAGATTATTAGATTATTCTTACTTTTTTAATATAATAGTTTATTAGAATAGTAAAATAGTAGAATATCATATTCTCATTTATTGTTACGTAAGCGGACACAATAGGAGTTGTAAGCTTTACTACTACGCCACGCACGCAATCTGTCTAAAAGGCACAGTATTAGGGATCGAAGTCCTAATAGCTTACTACTATATATATATACTTGTAACATTTATATTCTTATTTAGTTACTCATTTAGTTTCTTATTTAGTTTCTAATATCGAAAAATATTTAGAGTAATTATACTCTAGGTATTATAAAAGAGTAGAAGGTAATGTGAACGAAACTTGGTACAAGTCACGTAGCCTATTTTTGTAGCTAATATTTATAGATCTTCTTTGTATAGTTTAGAAAAGGCAGTCAGTTCCCATCTACCTTCTTATATATTTTGTAAAGCAATATGTAGAGCCTCCCCCTCCTCTTCTTCGCTAGAGGCGCTATATCTCAGTGACTTATTTGTAGTATTTGCGAAGGACTACTTTACGACCCTACCTTCTACTCTTTTACAGTAATAGGGTTATAGAGAAGTTACTATAGTATAGCGCCTTTAACGGAGAAAAGGAGAGGAAGATTCTATACAGCGCTTCGCGAAATATACTAGAAGTTGAATAGAAACTAACTACTATATTTAAACTATATAAAAAAGACTTATAAATACTAGCTACAGAAAGGGTCACGTGACCAGCACTAAGTTTCGCTTATAGTATTCATGCTTCTGTTTATAAATATATCTTTAAATATATTTCCAAATATATTTCTATTAATTCTTTCAATTAAATTGATGAATTTCCTTATTATTATAGGGCCTATTCTAAAACTAATAGTAATATTCGAAAGCTTTCAATTGCTTTAATCTAACTACTTCTTTTCCAATCGAAGTTTCTTTTTATTTAAGATTATATACTGAATTAAAGTAATTTCATAAATATTTAACCTCTTCATCAGCTGAAATAACCCTGTCCTAACGTCGGCGGTAATTTATAATCTATTAGAAGAGAGCTTGAATATACTAATTAATAAATTTACTATACTCTTATAGATATATGATTATATAATAAAACAATACAAAAAACCCGAGTTTGCTTCTACGAATCTATAATAAAAATTATATTAATCGATTCCTTTAATTTCAATCTATAATTTTATATATTTTCTTTTAATATATCTTTAATTTTGAAGGTTCTATATAAGAAATAGAATTAAAATTCTCTGATTTTTATGACTTTTTAGATATTCAGATATTTAGATAGAAATATAACTTTAAAATAATATTTTAAATCTATATAAATCTTATATTTTTTATTATTATATTAATATAAATACACTATAATATTAAAGAAGCTTCAAAATATTATTCTATCTAATCTGAAATTTAAAATTCATTTTATAGCTTTCAAAAACCTAGAAATAGCTTTAATTTTATAATTTAAAGCGTAAATCTATATTTATCTACTCTAGTACGAGTATTACGAGTCGTTAGATAGAGTTAGAAATATATATAATAAATAGTACTAATAATAATAGATATAGAGTATAGACTAAGATATAGCTCGAAAAGCTACGATAATTTTTCAGAGTAAAGATATATAGAATTTTCATATGTAAGCTAGCCCGATAGAGCCTAGCTTACCTACTCATCGATTATATATCTCTATATCGTAATAACGAGCGCCTTCGAAATATAATAGAGTAGGAAGAGAATCTATTCATAATTACTAATAAAGTCAAAATTCGATTTAATTAATAAGATTATTTAAATCAAATCTTATTAATTGAAAGTTTCTATTTTTGATATATATAGCTTTAGTTCTTACGAATTATAAGATTATTAAGGAGATAAACCTTTAATAATTATATAATTAATATAGAGTATAGATCTATTATATTTGCTTCTATAAATCTATAAAATATCTAGCTAGGCTTATTTCGTCTAAGTGTACGATAAACCGGGGCCTCAATTCTTACATATATAGTGAGTAGATAGATGATGTCCTCGATCGGATATAAAGGTAACGGTGTTTTGTAGTTATGTTTCAATACCCGCTGACACGCCGCTCTATTTGAAAGCCTCTTAACACAGAGGAGATTAATACGCGTCTGCTAAATTGCATCGCCGCCTTCACACATTTTACAAACAGCCAAAAATCATGTATAACTCTGATATAAAAATATTGACATTCCGGTTCGCTTAATGGACTGTAGAAGAGACCAAAATCTAGAACTCGCTAGGTTTCTGAATCTTCGGCCACGAGGCTGCTGTGATTGAAAAGTGGAGTGTGTGGTGAAGAGGTACGTCTTCTGCGAGGACTCGAGAACGGCGATCTCTGATGGAGATGTGCAAATAACATTGTCGCATTATTAAATAGGGAGTACATATATGAACTGAACTGAATCAAGTCGTTTCTTGCATATTCCCAAGCCCCTAGAGATTATATCATCGATATTGATAGCTTCTAATCGAAGATTCTGTAGCATTCACTTTGCTTGGAGAGTCCAGAGGATGCCATATACGCGTCTGAGAAGTGTCGATGCAATGACGTACCAAACGATATCATTTGGATCAACCATAATAAAGACACCATGCAAGTCCACCCTTCGTGTTCTTCCAAACCGGGTGTCAAACCTCTCACATTCCAGATGCACATCTCTGGATTATCAGAGTATACCGATTCCTCGCCAAGGACACCTTATACTTGTTTTCAAATAACTGCAAGCTAGTGATAGACGTGTTCTTGAGCCTTGAGAATCTCAAAAATGTATATTGGTTGTCCTAGACCGAGTATTATCACGGTGATTAAATTGTTGGACCTTCGATTCGAGCTCGGATTCGGTCCTGGATATAATATTTCTAAACCGGGGCTTGCTCCTCCTCTCCATGTTCCTCAAGATACTATGGACTGTCGCACCATCTTTCCAGCTCCCTAAGATTTTCGACCAATCCTCTTCATCTAACAAGTATAAATCCTCCAGATCATTTTCCATACTGTATGTTTTGACGATGTCGTAAGCATTATAGTCCGGTCGATGGCACACCTCGACTAAGGTTCTGAATAACCATACTTCTTGGTCGGCGAAGCTCCAATCACCCCTAGGAACACTACTGGCTCTAATAGGTCGTAGTGGCTTGCCGGATGCTTCCAATAAGAGTTTGAGATAGCTGGGATTGGATTCAGCATGGTATATTTCATCTTCTTTACTTGCTTGACGCGAATGACTTTTATGGATTGACTCCGAGGTGCGGGAACACAGCTTTTTGAAAAGGGATTTTAATGGCATGATGACCGAATTGGGAAATCCTAATGATCAATGAGGGAGAAATATTGGGAATTGCATAAGGAGATAGCAAACATTTGTATGGATAGTTTGATATTAGATTTGAGGAAATGTGTTTGGGGTGGTGGGATGTAGGGGAGTGACATGTGGCATCTAGTCTTCTACTAGATGCCAACACTTACTAAGTAGTGTATCTCTTATGATGCAGTGCCGAGCCAAAAATAAGAAAGTACCGGTGCATCACTCTAGTACAGTAGTTGGTATCCAATGTAGAGGTAGTTCTTCTGAACTACAATGTGCGGGGTTTCGAATTCATTCAAATTTGAGAATTACTGGCTCAGCGAATCGATTGATTGGATGGCTGATCAATCTGGGCCCCCCAGTTTCGATCAATGACACAACTATATGTCTAGTTCGATCCTTATTACAATGGTGTCTGAATAAGCGTCCATTGTCACAGCAATATCAGCGATAAAAATGCAGTAAATCCCACCAACTCCGCACTATGAAAGTGTCGTCTCAATGCTAGGTATACTGAGCAGTTGAGACTCTTGGAGTTTCCCCAGGATATCATGATCGGCATTGACCATAATAAGAATGTGAGAACTACCCAAACTATTGCTCCGCAACAATGTTGATAGCGATGATTATTGACTTTAGGAATGTGTTAAAGAATTGTGGTTGAAATGACTGTCTACCTAGGATCCCATCATATTCGTATCAGAGCAGACCTAGGCAGGCGGATCTTTCCGACCATAAGATTGATTCGGATGATGGTTTGTGATGTTGAGAAAGGTCAGGCAAATTGAAAGCTTGGAGAAGAATCGATGGTAGAAAGGTAGAAAGGTAGAAAGGTAGAAAGGTAGAAAGGTAGAAAGGTAGAAAGGTAGAAAGGTAGAAAGGTAGAAAGGTAGAAAGGTAGAAAGGTAGAAAGGTAGAAAGGTAGAAAGGTAGAAAGGTAGATGGGTAGATGAAGGATATACACCAGGGCACTTCATGATAGATGCACAATTACCTAGGTAGGTAGGTACGTAAACACGTGCAAACATTCCGGGTTTGAACAGAGATAGCGGAATCTTCACGTGAGATTCCGCCATACGGGAGGATATTGTGACATTTTACCTGTATCTCATTCGTACTACCAGTATTCCTGTTGCATTACCTCTGTAGTATTCCCCGCCCATCCTCCCTCCTCCCTCCTCCCTCCCCACCTCCTTTCGTCAAGCCAATGTACAGTCACAAATCAACGAAATCCTCTTGTCGTTGTCGTTGTTGTTGTTGTCGTTGTTGTTGTTGCGAAAGACTTATCATCAACCCTTTCATTTATCGTAATTGGATTCGATTTTCGGCAGTTTTCGATAACCTTTTCCTTCATCCCATTTTCTTTTTTCTTTTTCTTCCCCAAGCCCTTTATGACGTAGTCGATGACCCCATGTTTGCCATTCTTTCAATTCTCAAATCCGACTGCATGAAAATCTGCACGCCATGATCCATTAAGGACCACGGAGTCTGAGACAGTGAGTACCTACCCAGTACATTTCTTATCAATGGGAATCCCAGTCTGGTCTAGCGTGTCTCGTTGCTAGATTCATACCTTTCGCATCCAGGGTTCAAGTCAAACACCAAGACGGCTGTACGGAATCCACGGCTCGCAGCTTCTCCAATGAAGTGGTCGATTGATACTAAAAGGATCGTATATAAAGTAACATCTTCCTCATTACTCTATCGATTTGTTGGAAACTTGGTTTTTTTTGATTACCTGGACACCAGACTGGCGTGAGGGAAGCACGGAAGTAAGCGTAAAATTCCATCTCACCGTTGAAAGAAGAAAGACGATCCGTAGCGAGGAAGACTAGAGCGTGTGGATGGGTCCAAGCAGACCTCGGGAGATGGGAGATTGGGTTACTTGTTGGTGGTGGAGTTGGTCAACTTGGTCGGGACTAGAACTACTAGGTAGAGAGGGAATCGTACAGATTAGGGACTAGGTATTTCGGCATGTCACTCGACTTATGAGGAGGGTTGTGCATTATGATGAGTTAGTTGAGTATGAGTATGAGTATGAGTCCTTTGACCTTCTTTCATTCTATTGTATTTGCATCCAAAGTCAAGGACAAATCCAAGTACCGGCACAAGATCAAGTACCATTTCAAATCAAGTCCCGGTATAAGAACAAGGACACCTCCAACCAACTACAACTAGCCCATTCCTTTCAGCCCTCTTCCCATCATCCCGTCAACTTTTCCACCTTGCCAAGTAAACTTCCTCATGCTATCCATCTTGGCAAAAGCTTGAATCAGTCCATCCGGCACGATACCCTACGATACCCTACGATACCTCACTCAAGTACTCACTGTGTGCAAGCTCATGGTCACTTCTTGAGCTTCTTCCTCGAGCTTAAATATCTTAAATAACATTAAACAATCTCCCTCCCTCCATCCGACTTCATCCCCAATACCGCTGGTACCCGTGCGTCAAACTTTCCATTGTTGACTCGCGCCCATTGTACGCATTCACCTTGTCTCGACGAAATTAACCCAATTAAAAGGCTTAGTTCCAACCCGTTTCGGCGCCTCATCGTGATAATCCTTTCAGCTTCTCTCCCTTCAATTGGTCACCTCGAGGGTATTAGAATTATCTTCCGTCTTTTTTGACTCCCCTCTTTCCGTATCGCATTTTCTTGTCAGACAAAGCTTGGCTGTCAGCTCATTTTACAACTACAATCACAATCCTCTTCTCTGCGCAATATTACGCCGTCTCTCCGCGGAATAATCTAAACTCTCCTGGAGAGTATAAACAAAGATGTCGGAAAAAGTCGATCGTCAAGCACTCGGCGACATGTCAAATGGCGCAAATCACCCAGCGCAAGAGAGTCCATCGCAAGTAATTCCAGCGCAAGAGAATCCAGCAGCCCAAGTAACTCCGGCGCAAAATGGTACACAGCAAAATGGCGACGCAGAGAAACAACACCAAGGCCAATTTCATTCAGCAAAGGAAAAGGTTACGTCGAAACAGCAAAAGTTGAAAGATAAGGCCAATCCTCCTGGTGGTTTCGATGCGACGCCAATTCCCCATGCGCGAGATGGGTATACTGTACGATTTACCTTTCACAGAGCTGAGAATCTTCCTGCCTCGGATCTCAACTCTCGCTCCTCCGACCCTTTCCTTACAGCAACCTTGACATCCTCGCTATTAAAACGACACAAGGAAGATCCAGATCTCGTTTTGCGAACTCAAACAATACACAAAAATACAAATCCAGAATGGAATAAGACTTGGACGGTCGCTGGTATTCCCGGAAGTGGCTTCCGTCTGAAATGCCGTTTATATGACGAAGACCCGGCAGATCATGACGATCGATTGGGAAATGTTACAATCCATGTGGACTCATTAGGCCCAAGTTGGCAAGGTTTCAAAGAGAGAGGATTTGATATCAAAAAGAGAATGGGTAGCAAGAGAGCATATGGAGTGCGAGCTTGCGCTGCTATGTTTGATAGCAATGTTCACATGGATGGTACACTATACGTCAGCGCGGAATGCTTGGGACCATCCGAGCAACCCTATGGCAGAATGTACACTGTCGCGGAAACATATTTCTTCAAGCATTATTCGCCCATGATTGGAAGATTGGCGGGTACCAAAGCACCTGGAAGCTCATCGGGAGACAAGCCACAGACTGAGAAATACGAGTAAGTGATTCTCCTTCGGACCTTGAATCATGTCAATATTAACGAGTTAGTTTCCAAGCAAATCAGATACAACTTCAAGGTCCAGTGCCTGCGGAATTGTACCATCGCTTTGTCGAATTTAAGCCTTTCGTAAAAGGAATGTTCTCAAAAGCAGGGCTACGAGGACGAGTCTTGAATAAAGCTCTCCATCACCAACACGCCCGTGTGTACAATTTCAGTAATAGTACAGAATACGGAGTATTCAAAGCCCGATCAGAAGACGCCGCATTGCAATTTCTCAAAATGGTACACTTTGATGAAGGCGCAAGGATATTCACCTACGTACTCTCACTCGATGGACTTCTTCGATTTACCGAAACAGGCAAGGAGTTCGGTGTTGACCTTTTGTCGAAACATACCATGCACAGCGATGTAAATATTTATATAGCGTGTTCTGGAGAATTCTTCATTCGTCGACTAAAACACCCACGTCGATCAGCTGACGATCCCAGCCAATCTACTCACCCAATCGAAGAGCTTCCAGGCGGACCACCCCACGATGCACCTCCCAAAGACCCTAGCCATTACGAACTGGTGATCGACAATGATAGCGGTACTTACCGACCAAAGGGCTCCCTACTTCCCCTCCTCAAGAAATTCCTCAATGAGAATCTCCCCGGTCTGCACATCGTCACGAAAGAATGCACCGACGATCATCTTACGAAGATGAAAGAAGGACAACGAGAACGCAAGAAGAAGGAAGGAAATGAAATTAACATGGTGCAGAATTCAGATGATGAGATCAGTAGTAGTGACGAGGAAGATTTGAACGATTTGGTGGGCTCAGGACGCAAGAGCAAGAGGGAGAGACTGGTTGCTGGTCTTGAAGATCCCAGTCAGGCAGTGAAGGACCTGAAGAAGGACTATGTACCAGGGAAGTCGAAGGCCCAGAGAGATGAAAATGGAAATCCTCCTGGGACAGCGTGATGGCGGGGACTGTGAATGAGGAGTTTGGCTGACGGCTACGATCGAAGACGAAACCTATCTACGAGTACAATATTCGCACAACCAACCGCGAGTGGGTCCTCTCGCGACAGGGACTCACGTGAGGATTAAGGGGGCGAAGAGGAAGAAGTTAATGGATACCACCATCATACTGGATGGATGTAAATGAACGAGTCGACGAGTGAGATCTTTCCTCACGATCACATCATAACTTAATAACGCTTTTCTTTTGTTTGTTTGTTTGTTTGTTCTTACGCGAAGTCCCTTTTTTTGATACCCTCTACTAGGGCCTATTTATCTGTTCTGTTTCCATAATCATCCCCTTCATTAGGCCAGGGTGGGAGGAACGGAAGAGATTGGAGTTGCCCATGGAAGATGTTTTTTCTTCTTCTTGTATTGCATTGCTTTGCTTTGCGTCAGGAATCGTATAGTATAGTATAGCATCGCATAGTTAGTATATTATAGTATAGTATAGTCAATATGGAGATTTCCTAGCAGTAGTTTCAAGTAGGTGTAAATACTATTTATCTATTACTTATCTATATAGGTATTCAAATATAATGGATATCTGAGTTTGTATATATATATATATAGGTATATAATACGATATAGGTAGATAGATAGATAGATAGGTAAACAGTATTAATACTAAAATATCAATATTATTATTTATATTAATTTATATCTATTTATATCTATATTGATATCATTATCATTATTAATATCTAGATATTAGATATCTAAATACTCAGATACTCAGATACTCAGATACTCAGATACTCAGATACTCAGATACGCAGATACTCAGATACTCAGATACTCAGATACCCAAATACCCAAATACCCAAATACTCAAATATCTAAATATCTGAATAAACATTAAATAATAAAGTTCACCATTAATATCCAACTACAAGCAAAACTCCAGAATTAAGATATAATCTTTTATTTCACTTCACTTTACTTTACTTTATTTCACTTCACCTACTAACATACCTATCTATAGGGTTATTTTCAACGCTACGAAGGACTAAGAAAAAGCTCGTATTTATATATTTATATTTATATATATATTCATATACCTAGATATATATACATAATACTTTACTCTTCAAGTAATTAACCAACTCTCTCATATCAAAATCCGATACCAATACTAATACTAATATCATTTCCATTTCCATTTCCTGTGTTCCTATTTTCCTATCTAGCTATCTAGCTAATATTGTTTTCTACTCAACTCTACTTCACACACACACTCTCTCACACAGAAAAAAGATAGATACTAAGTAGGTATATAGATAAGGAGGTAGGGTAGGTAAAAGAAACCTCCTCGCTAATCCATCTCGCATACTCGATATAAATCAAGACACAGAATCATAAAGCGGTATCGAGTACTCAGGCGGCATAGAATGTAATGTAATGTATGTATAGGTATGTATATGTGTATATGTGTATGTGTATGACACAAAGCATCGTTCCACCATCTCACATCGCATGTGCATCTATCCATCCATCCCTTGAGACAAGTCCAACTAAACCTATCCACTCCACATAACTCATACTCCATTAATATTATTCCTCCCCTTTTCCTAACCTAACCTAACCTATCCAATTCCAGGTGACGAGTGGCTTGCCTGCTTCCATTTCAATTCTTCAAGCGATGATGGATATCGATACCATACACCGCTCACTATACATGTTCAATGAAGTAAACCTCCGTTTCATTCATCATTGTGCCAACCTGCCAGCCATCGGCGAGCCACCTTTCTAGCTATAATATAAGCAAGCCACCCAAAGCTACTACAAAATAAAATATTTCAGACCAAGAACAGAAAAAACGCCAACAATGCTAATCCCATGGTATCTCCAATTCATCCATCATTCATTAACATACCATGACATGTCATACCATCAAAAAATTTCATGAACGTTCCTGGATGGGCGTTTTAGCTAATCGTCCGCCAGCACTAACACGTTTCTGCAATCTCGCCTCCCGCTCCTTGAGCTTGTCCTGTGGGGTCATTGTGGTTGGCAAGGCCCCTAAAGTATCACTGGTGCCTCCTGCACGCTGAGTCTTTTGTTCGATATACAGCGTTGCGCTTCGACTTAAAGGAAATGCAGGTAAAGAGGTTGGGATCTCAGCCCCATGCTGTATGAGCATTTCTGCGATTGGGAATGGCACAATCTTTGCAGGAGGCTCAACCCGAGTGGAAGACGTAATCTGTGCTGGAGATGCTGGATCAGCAGCAGCGAGAGCCAAAAATACTGAATGAGTTCCACGAGACTTATCCGTGACATTAGGATTTGCCTTGAGCGCCAAAGCATATATCACCTGTTGGACATCGTTCTTCTTGACTGCGGCAAGAAGGGTCTCATCTGCTGTGGCATATCGTGAGAGGGTGGATGAAATTGGTTCCACGAAGGCTCGGTCAACATACTTGGCCGTGATAAATTTTAACCTCTGTTCGCGTGTAGCTTGTGGCGTGGGTTTTGTAGCTAGATCAAGTCTAGCTTCCCAGACCATATTGGAGACACGATTGCCAACCAATAAAAGTAACTCAACAATGTCCGTGGTAAATGAATTGATATCGAGAGTTAAGGAGCGTACTTTGCTAATATGTGTCCCAAGGGAGCGGTGAATACCACTGCACTCGATGCAAAGAATGATGGCTAAGTTGATCGACACCCACTCTGTTTTGATTCCAGATCCACAATCCGCACACCAGCAGTTTCCTTGATCCGTTTCTCGTAAAAGCTGTAGTAGTTTATCTGGGCTTTCATCAAAGCTACTACTACTCGAACGGCCATATGCAGGTCTCGCACCAACAGTCGTTCTTCTAAACACATTATTAGTGTTAGAGATATTAGTATGGTTTGAAGAATGCCCGTGGTTCATCGAAGAACTCTTTCCTGTTAATATCGACCCAATATCTCTTCGGATCGAATGAGGCTCAGACTGAGGCGCCAAGGCCGGGTAATCTTTCATACCTCTACCCTCAACCGCACTCTGAAGCGCATTGTTGATAGCGGAAATCCAATTCTTCATGTCGTCTTCCGATGTTGCTTGATATACTCTCTTGTAATGAGGTGTTATGACCTCAAAACAAAAACGGCGCTCGGCATCGCGAGCCTCACGAACAGAAGCCATACGCAAATCTATGGGCTCCATGTGTAGGTCTAGACGCTGCTTCCAATTACTATACTCAGAGAGTTTACCGGCATCAAGTACAATCCAAAATCTATGAAAGTCAGTTGAGTTACTGCGTCTATGGCGCGTCAGACTTACTTGTGCCAAGCTTGCTTATTTAGGCCTCTTGGATCAACATGGCTACCAGGTCTGCTTAAAGCCCAGAGAAGACCCTCTTTACGCTGCGTGCCCAACTTCTCACTCGCCGTGATTTGACTGTGATCTTTTTCTTCGAGGTCACGTATGCCACGAAACCGAGGATTTGCGCCCGGGCTTCCTACTTGTCCTCCGACTGTCGACGAGAGGCTACCAGGAGATCTAGAAAACTCCGTCATGCCGCCATTGTTGACTGTAGCAATTGTACTATTCGTCGGCACCGGTCTCAGTTGATGCCCAGTGCTATCCGCCCTGTTGAGCTCAGAATCTGATGTATATGCGCCATTTCCTGAGCTCGAGGTTCCAGGTACGATGGGTTCAACTGGGACCGCAGGAACTGTCTCAGGTTCCACATATGTAATAGTACTCTTCTCGAGATTGCGCCGTTTTTCTTCACGTTCAGTCCTCTGGTATTGAAATTCTTTGTCTGCATCCTGCACTTCTGCACTCAATGCTTCTAGCTGTGGAAGCATTTGTTCCACCTTCTTGGCTGCTGCGAGATAACTCCTTGTCTGAGCATCTGCATACTTAGTCAAATGTGACAAAACTTCTTGTTCTTTTCGCCCCCCATGGAGATCCTGCATGAATGAAGAATAATCGAAACGCTTCAGCTCGAAGTTCCGACGTTTCGTTTGGTATTTTGTATCGCTCTCAACGCGCTTTTTCTGTTTGAGGGAATCTTGACGTTGACCCAAGTATCTCGAGACATATGCATAATAATCTTTACTTTCTTCCTCGAAGTCTCGTTTCTTTGATTCAGCTTGTTTGATATCGAGGGTATATAATTTTGCAAGTGGCTCTATAATGACTTTCTCGAGATTGAGAGCATTCTGCTTCTCATACTGTAGAATCTCCCGCGCAATCTTATCAAAGTAATGGTCCAAAGCGGGTTGAACTGCGTTTGCATTCGAATTAGATGCTTCTCGAAGCGCTTCCATAAATCCTCCAATGGCATCGTTGCATTGGATCTGAGCAAGTTGCGCAGCCTCTGCCTTTCTGAGAACCTTCTTCATCCGTGCGCGCATATTTCCAGTCTTCTGCTCTAATGCTTTCATAGTAGCTCTGAATAACGGCCCATCTTCGGTGGCGCTCATATCTTCACCCGGCCGTTGACAAGAAACATCAACCTTGGGTACATCCGCCATTTGACTTTGAGGAACAATCAGATCGAGGTTAAGGGGGTTTGGCGACGGTGGTGCGTCTTCGTAGGATAGTTCTTGTCCGCTCACACGAGAATCGAGGGATTGAGAAGAGGGAAGTCGCAATTTTGGGGGTGGAACAAGATGGAATGGGGGAGATGGCGAGCCTGGCATACTTAACGGTTGTGAATCTAGGTCCTTGTTAGTAGATAGATAATTGGGCCAAATCAATTAGAGCCTTACTTGAAACCCAGAATGAGAAGCTAGCCAGTGTATTCAATCGATGCGCTCGTTGATCATATTCGAGAAACTAGAGAAATGTCAGAACGAGTAACACATGCGATCCAGTCGAACATACGCTACAATTATTTCTCCAACCACCCCCGCGATCCTCTGTTGGCTTTGGAGGTCTCCATTTCCAAGACCATTCGAACGACACTGATTGACTGCCTCCAGTGGAATAATCCCCAACCAATTGTACATTGGCATTCTTGTGC